GGGTGCACCTCAAGTGCCCAATGTGGATGATTAAGGAGTCTGCCACTGAACCCTACAGAACACCTACTACATAAGGCTACCAACCCCACAAGATGTAGCAGCTCACCTAATCCATAGAAACAAACACCGGGGGGCTGCCAAAACGAGGAGACAAAGAAACAGGCCTCAAATGAAAAAAAAAAAAAACAGAATAAAACTCAAAAAATTAACAAAATGGAGACAAGTAATCTACTAGATACAGAGTTCAAAACACTGGTTATAAAGATGCTCAATAAGCCCTGGCCGGTTTGGCTCAGCGGTTAGAGTGTCGGCCTGCAGTCCAGAGAGACCTGGGTTCAGTTCCCGCTAAGGGCACGTACCTCAGTTGCAATTTGTCCCTGGCCCTGGTTGGGTCGTGTGGATGGCAGCCACTCAATGTGTACCTTTCATGTCGATGTTTCTCTCTCTCTCTCTCTCTTCCTCTCTCTCCCTCCCACTCTATCTGAACAAAAAATGTCCTCGGGTGAGGATAAAAAAATAAATAAATAAAAATTAAAAAGAAATAAATAAAGATGCTCAATGAACTTAGGGGAAGAGTAGATGAACTTAGTGAGAACTTAAATAGGAAACATAAAAGCATAGCTAAAAAAACATAAAAAAGGAACCAGTCAGAAAAGAATACATTAACAGAAATGAAGAATATATTATAGGGAATCAGCGGTGGAGTTGGTGAAGTAGAGCAGGAACGGGGAACATCCAGCCCACGGGCCATATAAGGCTCTCAAAATCAATACCAGCTAACATCACATGCCTCATCAAGGAGAAGCCATCACATTAGGGATGAGTTAATTAAATTTTGACCAAATATAGCAGATTAATTTTTTTTTATCCTCACCCAAGGACATGTTTTCATTTTTTTGTTCAGATAGAGTGAGAGGGAGGGAGAGAGAGAGAAACATCGACATGAAAGAGACACATCGAGTGGCTGCCACCCACACGACCCAACCAGGACCGGGGACAAACTGCAACCGAGGTACGTGCCCTTAGAGGGAACCAAACCTGAGTCTATCTGGACTGCAGGCCAATGCTCTAACCACTGAGCAAAACTGGCCAGGGCAGCAGGCTAATTTTTAAGATGATAATTTTATATGGCCTAAAATGATATTATAAATATCCAATGGCCTGTGGCAGAAAAAAGGTTCCCCATCCCTGAAGAGGATCAAATCAGAGACTTGGAAGATAAGGAAGCAGAAAATACCCAATCAGAACAGCAAAAAGAGAAATGAATCCAAAAATATGAGAGAAGTAAAAGGAACCTCTGAGACAACTTCAAGCATACCAATATTTGCATCATGGGGTGCCAGAAGGAGATGAGAGAAAACAAGAAATTGAAAACCTATTTGAAACAATAATGATTAAAAAACTTCTTTAACCTGAAGAAGGAAATAAAAATACAAGTCCAGGAAGCACAGAGAGTCCCAAACAAGATGAACCCAAAGAGGCCCACACCAAGACACATCATAATTAAAATGCAAAAGGTTAAAGACAAAGAGAGAATCTTAAAAGAAGCAAGAGAAAGTAGTTAGTTACCTATAAGGGAGCTCCCATAAGACTGCCAACTGATTTCTCAACAAAAACTTTGCAGGCCAGAAGGGATTGGCAAGAAATATTCAAAGTGATGAAAAAGAAGGACCTACAACCAAGATTACTCTACCCAGCAAAGCTATCATTTAGAATAAAAAAAAAAAAAAACAGATAAAGAGCTCCCCAGACAAGAAAAAGCTAAAGGAGTTCAGCACCACCAAATCAGTATTATATGAAATGTTAATGGGTTTCTTTAAGAAGAACAAGAAAAAAAATAAGATTAAAAAATATGAAAAACAAAATGTCAATAAATACGTATCTATCAACAACTGAATCTATAAAACAAAATAACAAGCAGAACAGAAACAAACTCAGATACAGAGAACATTTTTTTAAGTTTTTTATTTATTAATTTGTTTTTGTTACAGATGTTTCTCATTTTTCCCCCACTGACACCCTTCTCCCCTTCCCCCCTGCCCTAGTCCCCAGCTTTGTTGTCTATGTTCATTGGTCATGCATACATGCATGTAAGTTCTGTGGTTTATCTCTCTCCCCCCCCCCAAATCCCCCTCCTCTGAGGCTTGGCTTGTCAGTCTGTACCCCACCTCTATGTCTCTGGGTTAATTTTGTCCAGCAGTTTATTTAGTTCATTATATTCCACAAATAAGTGAGATGATGTGATATTTGTCTTTCTCTGCTTGGCTTGTTTCGTTTAGCATAATACTCTCCAGATCTTCTATGCCACCTCAAAGGATAAGAGATCTTTCTTTCTTACAGCTGCATAGTATTCCATTGTGTACATGTACCACAGCTTTTTAACATAGAGGTACATATATTCTTTCTGATTAGTGTTTCAGGCTTCTTAGGGTATATTCCTAGAAGTGGGATCACTGGGTCAAATGGAAGTTCAATTTTTAACTTTCTGAGGTAACAGCATAGTGTTTTCCACAGCGGCTGCACCAGTCTACATTCCCACCGGCAGTGTACTAGAGTCTCCTTTTCTCCACACCCTCGCCAGCACTTGTTGTTTGAGGATTTGTTGATGGCGGCCATTCTGACAGGTGTGAGGTGATACCTCATAGTTGTTTTAATTTGCATCTTTCTGATGATTAGTGATGTTGAGCATTTCTTCATATGTCTCTTGGCCATTTGTATGACCTTTTTGGAGAGGTGTCTATTTAGGTCCTCTGCCCATTTTTTTTTTCCCTCACCCAAGGACATTTTTCCATTTTTTTGTTCAGAAAGAGTGGAGAGAAAGAGAAACATCGACATGAAAGGGACTCATCGAGTGGCTGCCACCCGCACGACCCAACCAGGGCCAGGGACAAACTGCAACCAAGGTACATGCCCTTAGCGGGAACCGAACCCGGGTCTATCAGGACCACAGGCTGACACTCTAACCACTGAGCCAAACCCGCCAGGGCCCTCTGCCCATTTTTTAATTGGGTTCTTTGTCTTCCTTTTGTTGAGTTGTATGAGCACTATATATTTTGGAAATTAACCCCTTATCTGACACATCATTAGCGATTATGGTCTCCCATATAGTGGGATCCCTTTTTTTATTTTGATGGTTGTTTCTTTTGCTGTGCAGAAGGTTTTTAGTTTGATGTAGTCCCACGTGTTCATTTTTTCCTTTGTTTCTGTTGCCTTAGGTGTTGTATCAGTGAAAATTCTGCTGTGTATGATATCTGAGATTTTGTTGCCTACATTTTCTTCTAGAATTTTTATGGATTCATGAGTTACATTTACATATTTTATTCATTTTGATTTTATTCTTGTGTATGGTGTAAGTTGGTGTTCTAGCTTCATTTTTTTTTTGCAAGTAGCTGTCCAACAGAGAACATTTTGATGGCTGCTACACGGGAGAGGTGCTGGGGGAATGGGTGGAAAGGGTGAAAGGATTAAGAAGCACAAATTCGTTGTTACAGAATAGTCATGGGAATATAAAGTACAGCATAGGGAATATAGTCAATAATATTCTAATAACAATGTATGGTGTCAGATGGGTGCGAGGTTTATTGGGATGATCGCTTAGTAAGTTACATAATGTCTAATCACTGGGGGATACACCTGAAACTAATATAATAATGTATGTCAATTATAACAGAATAAAAAAATTTTTAAAGGAAACCATCCAAATTTTGAACTAAGTAAGAAAAAAAGAGCTAAATATCTCAATAATTTTTTATATTAATGACTTGTTTGAATGATAATGTCTTGGATATATGAGTTAAGTAAATTATATTACTAAAATTAAAAAAGAAAAAAAAAACAAGGAAAGTATGGTAATGGTAAATTTCTTATACATGTTTGGAAGGAGAGTTTACACATTCAACTCTCTTTTTTGTCTTTACTTTATAAATGTGGTATGTTATTAAGTGTGAATATATATAGAGCCACTACCAGGCTACATTTTATGACACATACATATACAGTGGTGGCGTTTACAACAGTTTTAAATTAAAAAAATATAAAATACAGTACATATAATTAGTACAAAATTAGAAGACCCAAAGGTAAAAACTAGGTCTTCCTCCCACCCCAGTCCACCAGCTATCTGGTACCTTCTCAGAAGGCAACCACTATTACCAATTTCTTATTTATCTCTCCGGGGATATTCCATGTATACTACAAGCAAATATGTATTTTGTACACATACATACATATGTAGGTATTGTCAAACAAACTCAAAAAGAGTCTGGAAGCTTTGCTAGAAAAAAATGACAAATATTTATTCAAAGGTCTTAGAGTTTGCACACTGGAAACACAGTTAGGGAAAAACTCAGAAGTATTCCTAAGAAGAAAAGTTAAGAGTTCTTTTTTATTTTAACTTTATTTATTTATTATTATTACTTTTTAATCCTCACCCAAGGACATGCTTAGAGAGAGGAAGGGAGAGAGGGAAGAAAGGAGGGAGGGAAAGGGAGCGGGAGCGAGGGAGCAAGGGAGGGAGGGAGAGGGAGAGAGAGAGAAACAGAGAAACATCAATGTGAGAGAGAAACATCAATTGGTTGCCTTATGTACAAGCCCTAACCGGGCATCCAACCCAAAACCCAGGCATGTGCCCTGACCAGGAACTGAATCAGCAACCTTCGAGTGTATGGGACAACGCTCCAACCAACTGAACCACTCCAGCCAGGCAGGAGTTTGTAGTAAGTCATATCCTTGAGAATAATCAGTCCTGAATTCTTAGCCCTAGGATTGGTCCTGGATGGTTATCAACCAGATGTCAGAGGTCTGGATGCTAGATGCCAGGGAGTCTGGAGGATGAACACCAGGAGGTCTGGGCACATTCTGAGTCCTTTAGGGGGTAGTCAGAGGGTTATATTTGGCATAATGTAGAACTAGTTACATGACAAAAGCTGACAAAACTTTAAACCTTCATATTTTAAAAACAAGATTTGTCATTTAATAAGAATTGCATTCTTCAAACTGGAGAGTCTTTTAGGGTAAAATCCAAACACGGCTATATCCATACTTGGAAGCATTCTGACAACTCAAGGCTGGAAATCCCACACTATGCTTGTTGTCAGTCCATTGTTTTCCTGCCTAGTAGGTTCTGGAAGTGAATATTCTACAACTTTGTGCAGCTGATGCTGAATGCTGTGTCCTCTGAACTGGGGTCGGCCAGGGTCACCGATCAGTACTTGAGTTCTGTGGGTCCAAAAGCAATTCTTCAGCCATCGATGAAGACTATCTGCAAGGTCTTCATCATAAAACATATCTCCAAGCACAATCAGGTCCCATTTACCTTGTTCCAAATCCAAAATGTTCTTGGTTAAAATGGGAAAAGGAGTCAGGTGGTTCAATTCACAATTTAGTGTAATAGCCATTCCTGCAACTTTAAAAAAGCACACGATGAATTGGTATATACTAGGCTGTTTTCATTACCTATTGATTACTTTATTTAGAAAAATCTCCTAACAGTGTTTTTCCCTTTAAAAGATATTTAATTGATTTTTAGGAAGAGGAAGGGAGAGAAACATTGATATGAGAGAGAAACCTTGTTTGGCTGCCTCCTACAGCCTCCTACCCCCCAGGGATTGAGCCTGCAACCCAAGCACACGCCCTGACCAGGAATTGAACCAGCAACCTTTCTTTCTTTTCTTTCTTCACTGATTTGAGAGAGAGAGAGGAAGGGTGAGGGAGAGAGATAGAAACATCGATGAGAGAGAACATCGACTGGATACCTCCTGCATGCCCCCCACTGGGGATTTGGCCCACAACCCGGGCATGTGCCCTGACTGGGAATCAAACTGGCGACCTCTCGGTGCATGGGTCGACGCTCAACCAACTGGGCCACATTGGCCAGGCCAAAGTTCTTTTTTTTTTTTTTTAATTGATTTTAGAGAGAGATAGGGAGAGAGAGAGAAACATTGATGTGAGAGAGATACATCTATCGGTTGCCTCCCGAATGTGCCCCAATTAGGGATCCAACCTACAACCTGGGTATGTGCCCTGATTGGGAATCAAATTCGCCACCCTTTGGTGTACAGAATGATGCTCCAACCAACTGAGCCACACCAGCCAGGTTTCCCTTCTTTTGTTGAAAGATGTTTTTTAGGTAAGGAAGCTTAAAGTTTATACCAATGTAAGCTATTACTGCAATTTTCAAATATGTGAATGGATATTCTGAATATAAAACAAACAATAAATACACCTGGAAATGTTGGGGTTTTAAGGAACATGCCTGGGTTTTGGGTTGGATGCCCTGTTAGGGCTCGTACATAAGGCAACCAGCTGCTGTTTCTGTCTCAAATTGATGTTTGGTTTGTTACAGGAGTAAGGGAAACAAGCCTTGCACTTGAGCAAGGTAGCAAGTTAAAACTGAGCGCCGTGTATAAAATAAGGACCTTCAAGGACTAGACCCTCGGTACAAGGAACGACTAGAAGAGAGGCAGATAAAATAAAAACTTTCCTGTCTCAACTTGGATTCTGAGGGAACAAAATCGCCCTCAAAGATACAGACCCATCCTCACTTGGTTTTGGGGTAAAATAAACACACCTATATATTTCAATAAATTCCTAGCCCATAAATTAACAGTAAGTGTTCTCAGGTTGGTATCTCTTTGGGATATCTGACACACAAATACATAGCCTCTCAGGAAAAAATGCACTGTCCACTCATGCCTCACAAAACTCCCCACTGCACATAGGTTCACAATATGATATTATAAAATACACATGGGTATAAGCTATCATCTTGAGGCATCTGTAGATATTGATCCTGGAAGGGAAAAAAGGATGAGCTTAACATATCTTAAAATATGAAATCCTACCCTGGCCGGTTTGGCTCAGCGGCTAGAGCATTGGCCTGCGGTCCAGAGAGACCCGGGTTCGGTTCCCGCTAAGGGCACGTACCTTGGTTGCAGTTTGTCCCCGGCCCTGGTTGGGTTGTGCCGGTGGCAGCCACTCAATGTGTCCCTTTCACGTCAATGTTTCTCTCTCGCTCTCTCTTCCTCTCTCTCCCTCCCACTCTATCTGAACAAAAATGGAAAAATGTCCTCAGGCGAGGATAAAAAAAATAAATGAAACACTTACTAGGGTCTATGTCGTTGGCCAAGATCCTCGATGCCCCACTCATCTTAGCAGCGATGGCAGTAGCTCCACATCCACTCCCAAGATCTAACACAGATTTTCCTCTGACAATGGCAGGGTTATCCAAAAGATACCTAAATTAGAAAGGAAGGGGAAAACACGGGAGAAACTCAGTAAGAGCTGTCCAAAAAAGAATTACTTTGGGTTCAGTGGACAAAAAAGTAGTGGAACTTTGCAGAAGAATATGGTCCAAGCTTGGCAAGTTTGGCCTGACTAGAGTGAGACAAAATGCCGCTCTTCAGAGCTGGACAAAGATGGCAGAGAGGACCGAGTCATTGGATTTCTCTTCAGCAGGTGTGAAGAGCACTTCCACACAACTGACTCATCAGGCTCTTCATGTCAAATGTTTAAAAGTTTGACGCCCTGGCCGGTTTGGCTCAGCGGTTAGAGCGTCAGCCTACGGTCCAGAGAGACCCGGGTTCGGTTCCCGCTAAGGGCACGTACCTCGGTTGTGGTTTGTCCCCGGCCCTGGTTGGTCGTGCGGGTGGCAGCCACTCGATGTGTCCCTTTCACGTCAATGTTTCTCTCTGTCTCTCCCTCTTCCTCTCTCTCCCTCCCACTGTCTGAACAACAAAAAAGGAAAAATGTTCTCGGGTGAGGATAAAAATAAAAGTTTGCTGTAACAAAAATTAATTAATAAAAAAAAAAAAAAAAGAACAACAACAAAAAAAGTTTGAGCACTTACTATGATCCAGAAACTACAAAGAACCAAGAATACAGACCGACCAAGAGGATTCCTCGGCTGGGAAAGTCCTCCCTGAGGAGTGAGGGGGTCCCATGCCACATCAGACCCACCCAGCTCAGGGTTCCAGTGCCAGGAAGAGAAGCCCCCATAACTTCTGGCTGTAAAAACCAGTGGGAAGTGAGCGTGAAGGAGGCTGAGGCTGCTGGAGTCCCAGGCAATTCCTCCCAAAGGGCCGGCGCACGGACTTACTCAGACCAGCTCCCTCCAGGTTCCAGCGTTAGGGGGGCAGCTTGAAAGGCACCAGAGACATACCAACAAGAACTAAGTTGTTTGGCATCGAGGCAAGAGCTTGAGGGGCACCTTTCTCCCTAACAGATGTGCTGGTAGACCCCGCTGTTCCTTTGGTGAGCCCTTCCCACACAGGGCAATCAGACATGTGCCAAATCTGGGACTCCAGCACCTGGTTCCCACTGTTTGCCCCACCCTGGTGACTCCCTGAGCCCCTGCCCCACCCAACTTTCTGGCCCACTCAAGCTGTTTCCAATGACTTTACCAAAGGATTGGCCTGTCGTGGCTCCCACTTCAGATTTTCCTAAATTGTCTCAAACATCTGGCCTTAGTGAGCCCCATACCTCTAGCTAACTGGCCCCAGGCCTGGCACTAGAAGCAGTCAGCTTTGGTTCACAGCTTGGCTTTTCCTGGGCACCTCCAGGACCAGCATAAGAAGCAGCCATATTTAGATCACTATCTTATGCCTGGTGGGCCCAGGTACAACACAGGCAGAGACTGACCTTGCCCCAGAGCCAGCACACCCAGTGGCCAGCTTCAGACCACATCGAAGCACTACCATCCAACCACCTCCACAAGTGACACCCTCAAGGAGTAGATTCAGTGGGTACCAGAGCCCTGCTGAAGTTAAGTCTTGCTCTGTGTGGTGGGCCCCTACACAGCCAATCGTCCAAGGTAGTCAGAGGTCAGTGGGCACAGCCAGTCCTTGCAGCTGATTAGCCTGAGTAAATCCCTCCCATTGACGTGCCAACAGAAATCAAGACTCAATTACAACAGATGGGTGGACAGCCCACGTGAGGGGTGCACCTCCAGGGCCCAGCTGGGGTGATCAGGGAGACTGTACCACTAGACCCTACAGGAAATCTATAATAGGCCACCCTAGGATGCCTAGGAGACACAGCAACTCTACCTAATACATAGAAACAAACTCAAGGAGGCAGCCAAAATGAGAAGACAAAGAAACATGTCCCAAATGAAAGAACAGAACAAAACTCCAGGAAAAGAACTAAACGAAATAGAGATAAGCAATATAGCAGATGCAGAGTTCAAAACATTGGTTATAAGGATGCTCAAGGAACGTAGTGAGAACCTCAAGAGCATAAAAAAGGACCAGTCAGAAATGAAGGATGCATTAACTGAAATAAAGAATACCTTACAGCCCTGGCCGGTTTGGCTCAGCGGTTGGAGCGTCGGCCTGCGGTCCGGAGAGACCCGGGTTCGGTTCCCGCTGGGGGCACGTGCCTCGGTTGCAGTTTGTCCCCGGCCATGGTTGGGTCGTGTGGGTGGCAGCCACTCGACGTGTCCCTTTCACGTCGATGTTTCTCTCTCTCTCTCTCCCTCCCACACTCTATCTGAACAAAAAACAGAAAAAATGTCCTCGGGTGAGGATAAAAAAAAAAAAGAATACCTTACAGAGAATCAATTGTAGAGTAGGTGAAGCCAAGAAGCATATCATCAATTTAGAATATAAGAAAGTAAAAAACACCCAATCAGAACAAAAAAATTAAAAAAAAAAAAAAAGAGGATAGTATAAGGAGCCTGTGGGACAACTTCAAGCATACCAACATTCATATCATGGGGGTGCCAGAAGGAGAAGAGCAAGAACAAGAAATTAAAAACCTATTTGAAAAAATAATAACAGAAAACTTCCCTAACTTGGTGAAGGAAACAGACAAGTCCAGGAAGCACAGAGTCCCAAACAAGATGAACCCAAAGAGGTTCACACCAAGGCACATCATCATCAAAATGCCAAAGGTTAAAGACAAAGAGAGAATCTTTTTTTTTTTTTATCCTCCCCGAGGACATTTTTGCATTTATCTTCAGATAGAGCAGGAGGGAGTGAGGGGGGAAGAGAGAGAGAGAGAGACATCTATGTGAGAGAGACACATCAAGTGGTCGCCACCCACATGACCTCAAACAGGGTTGGGGACAAACCACAATCAAGGTACATGCCCCTAGTGGGAACTGAACCCGGGACTCTCTGGTCTGCAGGCTGACGCTCTAACTGCTGAGCCAAACTGGCCAGGGCCAAAGAGAGAATCTTAAAAGCAGCAAGAGAAAAGCAGTTAGTTACCTACAAGGGAGCTCCCATAACACTGTGAGCTGAATTCTCAAAAGAAACTTTGCAGGCCAGAAAGGAGTGGCAAGAAATATTCAAAGTGATGAAAAACAACAACCTACCACCAAGATTACTCCATCCTGCAAAGCTATCATTTAGAATCGATGGACATATAAAGAGTTTCCCAGACAAGAAAAAGCTAAAGGAGTTCATCACCACCAAACCAGTATTATATGAAATGTTGATGGGTCTTTTTGAAAAAGAACAAAAATATGAACAATAAAATGGCAATAAATACGTATCTATCAACAATTGACTCTACAAATAAAATGAGCAAGCAGAATAGAAACAGACTCACAGAGACAGAGAATTTTTTGTTGGTTGCCAGATGGGAGGGGCCTGGGGGGGATGGGTGATAAAAGTGAAGGAAATAAAAACTACAAATTGGTTGGTAGAATGATGAACCTCAAAGGAAAGGAGGGAGGGAGGGTGGGAAGAGATAAACCAAAGAACTTATATGCATCTATACATAACCAATGGACACAGACAATAGGGTGGGGAAGGCAAGAGGGAGGGCGGGAGCATGGAGAAGGGATCAATGGGGGGAAAAGGGGGGAGACATAATTCATTCAACAATAAGGATAAATTTAAAAAGAAAAAAAATAGTCACTTATAATGTTGCTACTTTTAATATATGTGAGCAGTAAAGTTTGAAAATTTGGCAACACAACAAAAAATTTAAATTGTTTGATACCACCTGGAAAGCTTGGTAGTCTCCAAAAAAAAACTGTTTACCTTTATTTATTTTTCATTTAAAACGATATATAGCATTAACTCTGTTTGGCCATACCATTCCTATGAAAGAGAAGTCCTTATCCTTTTTGTCTCACACCTCTGGAAACTCAAGGCATAAACGGATGAAATCATTTACCAATCCAAGAGCAAAGGCTAGATTGAAAGCTGAAAGTTCTTGCCTCTGTCTCAGCAGCTGTGTTTTAATAAAAGCATAGTGTGAATGTGTGAGAAAATGTCCTAAAGAAGACCTCTGCAGTATGGGGAGTAGGAAGGAAGGAATTTAAAAATGCAGATTCAAGTAGTGAGTTCACTTGAGGTGACAATAAACCACTAAAGAATAGGGAGTCCTTGAGCAGCCATTCGCTCACATCTCCTGTTCTTTGGGACATGAAGAAGAGACAATCATGGAGGGGGTGTGAGTCTTAAGGAGCCACATTTAAAGGACTAGGCTAGGAATGCTGAAGGACTTTCGATTCTCTCTGGGATCTCATACATTACAAACCATGAACCTGAGAGTAGTGGGAGATATGGATAGTTACAGCTATCTCCAGTCTTGGTGTTGACCATAGGCTGACTTCTCTTGGGGAAAGAACTAGATTTTGGGAAATGCCTTAATAAACTTGGAGTAGAAGGTAAAACTATGTAACAAAGCAACCAAAAAAAAAAATGTTTAAACTGCTCAAAATTAAGAAAAGAAGAATGTTGAGTTTTCTCTGTTTTTGTATGTGTAGGCCGGGGGGGCGGGGGGGGGGGGAGGATGCAAAGTTGGAAAGGCCTGAAAAGAGAAAGGATCGAAGCAACCATTTCAGACAGGGCAGTACCTAGACAGAGCTTGGCCTCCTGGCCAGTAGATTGCCCAGTAAGGATCACCGTGGGGCCACAGGTCAGCTCTTTCCCACCAGAACTTGCATCTGGGGGTCAACAGCCGTAACCGGATTTCAGGGGTGAGGCTGCCACTGCTGGTGACTTCAGTGTTCTCCTCCAGGAAAGCTTTCATCTCAGGATCCAAAAAGCTTCCAGTCCCTCTCCAGAGATAGTGGCCCCAGGAGTACGAGGAAAGACCACTGCTTCTCATGGCCTTTAGAAAGACACCACTCTGGTTCGTTGGAAACAGTGCAAATGTCCTCCAGCCTGGGTTCAAAGCCATCAGTCCTTTTCCAAACCACAGGTTCTGTCACTGATGTTGATAAGAGCTGCTCCTCATAGGCCAAGTATAAGGTTCTGGCTGCCAACTTGATCTCAACTGGAATCTCTAGATCTCTAAAAACAGAAATAATACTGAAAATTCCAAGGCTCACTGACACTTCCACATCCTATTACATAGTAGAAAATATTACAATGTAACTTCTGTAGCATATAATCCACAAGTACAAGTTCATTTTATTTTATTTTTTTAATGTATTGATTTTGAGAGAGAGAGAGGGAGAAAGAGAAACATCAAATTGTTCCATTTATTTATGCATTCATTGGTTGATTCATTATGTGCCCTGACTGGAGATAAAACCTGCAACTTTGGAGTATGGGCACAACACTCTAACCAACTGAGCTACCTGGCCAGGGCAATACAAGTTCATTTTAGATTAAAGCTTTGGTGCATCAATTTAGAAAAATCTGATCTTTAAAGCCATGCCTTTTCACAATGGAATCCTTTTAATAATTTCAAACAAATACAAGCATTTGATTTTGAGAGAAATCTTCAGGAACAATGCCTGTTTCATAAAATAAGGTATGATTTTAAAGTTATTTCATACATTCAATCATTTATCTTGAAGTAGGCACTGTGCTTGGCAACTGTGAACAAAATAAACAAAAGACTAGGAAGCTTAGATCCTAGAGGTGGGATAGCACAAGTAACAGGCAAACACAGTTCTTGCCTTTATGAAGTCTAGCCAAGAGTTGTGGAGGCTAACAAACCATAATTTTCTGTAGGCAGAGATCTACAAATTGCACTGACCACACTCTATGTCAATAATGAGCCCTGGCCGGTTTGGCGCAGGGGTTAGAGCGTCGGCCTGCGGTCTGGAGAGACCCGGGTTCGGTTCCGCTAAGGGCACGTATCTCGGTTGTAGTTTGTCCCTGGCCCTGGTTGGGTCATGCGGGAGGCAGCCACTGGATGTGTACCTTTCATGTCGATGTTTCTCTCTCTCTTTCTCTCTCTCTCTCACCCTCCCACTCTATCTGAACAAAATATCGAAAAATGTCCTCGGGTGAGGATTAAAAAAAAGATTGTCATAGCATAAAATATCTATGTAAACAGATTTAGATTTTCTTTTCTTCTTTCTTTTTCTCTTTTTTTTTTTTCTTTATTGATTTTAGAGAGAGAGAAAGGGAGAGGAAGAGAGAAACTTTGATGAGAGAGAACATTGATTGGCCGCCTCCTGCATGCCCCCCAATGGGAATTGGGCCCACAATTTGGGCATGTGCCCTGACTGGGAATTGAACCTGCGACCTCATGGTGCATGGGTCAACACTCAACCACTGAGCCACACTGGCTGGGCTAGATTTTTTCTTTAAAAAAAAAAAAAAAAGAAACTTTACGGATTTCATTGGAATAAAAGAATATCAACTCCCAAATCTCCTATAAATATCTGTGACAATTCACCTTTATCAAGCCTGTGTTGAAAAGACTTGTTCCAAAAGAAAACCACCTTGAAAAGAAATAGGATTGAGGAACAGCAGTTTAAGTGCAAATTATACCCACAGTTGTTTGGGACCTCTGGTCTATTCTGCACAAATGTCTTAAATAGTCACCTAAGTCAGTGATTTTTCAACCAGTGTGCCTCAAGAATTCTTATTTATTTATTTAGTTTTAATATTTTTCTTTATTGCCTGGCCGGTTTGGCTCAGCGGTCAGAGCATCAGCCTGCGGTCCACAGAGACCCGGGTTCGGTTCCCGCTAAGGGCATGTACCTTGGCTGCAGTTTGTCCCCGGCCCTGGTTGGGTCGTGTGGGTGGCGGCCACTCGATGTGTCCCTTTCACATCGATGTTTCTCTCTCTTCCTCTCTCTCCTTCCTGCTCTATTTGAATAAAAAATGGAAAAATGTCCTCGGGTGAAGATTAAAAAAATATATATATATATTTTTTCTTTATTGATTTGAGAGAGAGAGGGAGAGAGACAGAAACATCGATGAGAAAGAACATCCATTGGCCTCCTCCAGCATGCCCCCCTCTGGGGTTCAGGCCCACAACCTGGGCCTGTGCCCTGACCAGGAATCTAACCAGTGACCTCTTGGTGTATCTGTCCATGCTCAACCACTGAGCCACACAGCGGGGAAAGAATTTTTAAAACATGCGATACCTGACTATCCAGGGGCACTGACCTCTTTTCCCTTAGATTTTCAAATAAAAAAATGACAACAGCTAATACAATAGCCATCCGGTGTGAATGAATCAAAATTATACCAAATTTTTTGTCAGGTCGGCAAAACATATATTTTTTTTTGGTGTGCTGAAGAGTTTTAATAATTAGTTTATGTGTGCCACCAGATGAAAATGTTGAAAGTCACTGACCTAGTATTTAGGGTAGGGGCCCACAACCCCAGTGCCTGGCATAAATGAGCGATGCAGAAGGAGCGGGTTAACAGAGAGGCTGTGGCAAAGGGGACGCTGCTTCCAAACACTGGCCCAGGGAGGGCAGCAAAATGCTGCCAGGCGGGGAGCCTTGCCAGATCTTCCCATTTCTCAAACTTATCCAGATATTTATGCATACGCTCCCCCTTTTAAATGTTGGTGGTTCATTATCAAAACGCAGGCAGGACCAAATGCCTGTCGGCCTCTATCGTCTGCGAATGAAGGATCAACTTCAGAGGGGTTGGTCATCCTATGTGTGCGCCCTGGAAATAGCCGAGTCCCATCGGCCTGGTTCGGTCAGGAATTACTGGGTTAGCCCTGGAATCGCACAAGCCTACGGTTTAAAAAGAGCAAATGAGAGGTGATTTGGGTTTTGGACAGCATGTCCTCTAGAGGGACGCCTGCCCCTCCCACCCCACCACCAATCGGTTTTGAATATGTGCTTCCATGCAGGACACTTCGTGTATGTATTAGTTGATCAGGAAAGAGGACGGGTTAACACGGGTATATTCCAAAAGTGTTTGTGACCACGTTATTTCCCTCCAAGGGGCACAGCAGTCGGTCTTAACGGGACAGTCTTCCGTTACGCCTTACCTGGCTTCGCTACCACCTCCCGGGGAGGCTAAAGCGCAGGGCACCTGTCACTCCTGCTGCGCGTCTTCTCGCGCATTTATTACAACTGTGCGCGGGTCGCACTGCCGACCCCGGAACCTCAGGCTGAGCGCGCAGCGCGGGAGCGAAACGCCGGGCGGCAGGCTCCGCCTTCCTTCCCAGCAGCCCTTTCAACAACCTTCCCTCCGCTTTCTTAAAGGGGCAGGAGGGACAGAACCACGGGCTCCTTGACCTCGTTTTGGAAGTAAGGGCATGTCGAGCTCCTATCTCTAAAATACTCATTATGAAACCATTTATGACCCTTTGTGCCAATCACTCTTCTAGGCACCGAACATAGAGTGGTTTGCATAATAGAGTATTCACCCTTTATGATGCTTACATTGAACTGCGATTAAATCAAAATTATACATCCTTTTATAATTAATATTAAATATAGTCCAAATCTATTTTCAACTTAAATCAGTCAAGTTCTGGATCCAGATGTCCATCTTACAGTTGGATTCAAATAACCCACTGGCCCTTCAACTCAGCACATTCCAAAATTAACTCACCATCTCACCTGACAGCAATGAATGCCTGCTCCTCGCAAGCCAAAGGAACAGGAAAAAACAATTGTCCCAAACCAAGAACTAGGCAAACCATGTTTCTGCTTCTTACTTGGTAGTTTGAGAAGTGTACTGACAGCCCCCTGTTTATTTATTTATTTATTTTTTTATCCTCACTGGAGGACATTTTTCCATTTTTTGTTCAGGTAGAGTGGGGGGGGGGGGAGAGGAACAGAGAGAGAGAGAGAAACACCGATGTGAAAGGGACACATCGAGTGGCCGCCACCCGCACAACCGACCAGGGCCGGGGACAAACTGCAACCAAGGTACACGCCCTTAGCGGGAACCCGGGTCTCTCAGGACCGCAGGCCGACACTCTAACCGCTGAGCCAAACCGGCCAGGGCCTGACAGCCCCCTGTTTAAAGTTAGAGCTTGTTGCTTGGATTCTCTGCTTCTGCCCTTTTTATTTTTTTATTTTATTTTTTAATAGTTTTTTATTTTATTTATTTATTTATTTTATCCTCATCCAAGGACATTTTTCCATTTTTTGTTCAGATAGAGTGGGAGGGAGAGAGAAGAAGAGAGAGAGAGAGAAACATCAATGTGAAAGGGACACATCAAGTGGCTGCCACCCACACGACCAACCCAGGCAGGGGACAAACTGCAACCGAGGTACATACCCTTAGCGGGAACCGAACCCGTGTCTCTCCGGACCGTAGGCCCACGCTCTAACCGCTGAGCCAAACTGGCCAGGGCTGCTTCTGCCCTTTTTAGAGGGGTTTCTGCTTTCCCTGTAAATTGGGACCCCATAAATGGGAATAAAACTGTTATTTCTTTTCTTTTTTTTTTTTTAACTTATCTTTATTGTTTAATGTATTACAGATATTTCTCATTTTTCCACCATTGACCCCCTCCTCCCCACTCCCACCCCCCGCCTGCCTGTCCCCACACTGCTGTCTGTGTCCATTGGTTATGCATATATACATATAGGTTCTTTGGTTTATTTCTTCCCACCCCCAACCCCCTTCCCTTTGAGGTTTGTCAGCTTAGCAACCAATTTGTACTTCTTGATCCCTTCACCTTTTTCACCCATTCCCCCAACCCCCCTCCCATCTGGCAACCAACAAAATGTTCTCTGCATCTATGAGAATGTTTCTGTTCTGCCTGTTCATTTTGTTTGTCGATTCAATTGTCGATAGATATTATTCATTGCCATTTTGTTTGTCCATATATTTTATCTTTTTCTTCAAAAAGACCCTTCATCATTTCATATAATAACGGTTTGGTGGTGATGAACTCCTTTAGCTTTCTCTTGTCTTTATATGGCCATCGATTCTAAATGACAGCTTTGCAGGATAGAGTAATCTTGGTTGTAGGTTCTTGCTTTTCACCACTGTAAATATTTCTTGTCACTACCTTCTGGCCTACAAAGTTTCTTTTGAGAAATCAGCTGACAGCCTTATGGGAACTCCCTTGTAGGTAACTAACTGCTTTTCTCTTGCTGCTTTTAAGATTCTCTTTTTGTCTTGAACCTTTTGCATTTTGACTGTTGTAGCTCACTGTCCTTAGAATCCAACTTGTCTTTAAGCTGCCCTAATTAGCAACCTCAGAGACAGCAAGATGAACAATGGGGAATGTTATAGAGGGCTTTAGCCCCATAAAAATTAACCAGAGTTTGACCTTCACTGGGAATTTGAAAAGCAACATCCTTCAAGAAAAGGGAGGACAGAAACGGCCCCAAGGCCAGAGTGTCCTGCATGCTCTGTAAAGAAACTGATAGGGAGAAACTGAAGCTCCCTTTGCCCCATAAAACTGTAACTGTTCAACATGTGTGTATTGCACCTGACTGACCGCTGATATCCGTCTCGAATTTGTTAGTTTTTAAAACTTGGATAATGGAATGAATAGCAGAATAGATGTATGCTGACCTAGTTTACCCAGTTCCCTTTCGCCTCAGCTCCCTCCCACCTCCGTTCCCTCCTGCTTATCGCTAACTGCCTCGGCTTCTGTACAAGCAGCTTGCTTGTTCTGCTAAACTCTTGAATGACCCCTGCCCTATATAAACAACCCTCCCCCTGAGCTCAGGGCTGCAGTTCTCCTCTGTGTAGGTTGGCTGCAGTCCCTGCGCAGGTAATAAAACATCCCCAAAAACTGAAAAATGGAGTCTGAGTGTGGTTGATCTCCTGGGTTACAACATGACGATGATGTGTCTTGGTGTGACCTATTTGGGTTTCTCTTGTTTGGGACTCTCTGTGCTTCCTGGACTTGAATGTCTGTTTTCTTCACCAAGTTAGGGAAGTTTTCTGCCATTATTGTTTCAAATAGGTTTTCAATATCTTGTTCTCTCTCTTCTCCTTCTGCCACCCCCAAGATGCAAATGTTGGCACGCTTGAAATTGTCCCAGAGGCTCCTTACACTATCGTCATTTTTTTGGATTCTTTTTTCTTTTTGCTGTTCTGATTGGGTGTTTTTTGCTTCCTTATATTCCTAATTGATGGTTTGCTTGTTGGCTTTACCTACTCTACTATTGAATCTGTGTAAATTATTCTTTATTTCAGTTAGTGCCTCCTTCATTTCTGACTGGTCCTTTTGTAGGCTCTTGAGGCCCTCACTAAGTTCACTGAGGTTCTCACTTAGTCCATTGAGCATCCTTATAAGCAGTGCTTTGAACTCAGCATCTGTTAGGTTGCTTATCTCCATTTTGCTTAGTTCTTTTCTTGGAGTTTTGTTCTGTTCTTTCACCTGGGACTTGTTTCTTTGTTTCTTCATTCTGGCCGCCTCCCTGTGCCTGCTTCTGTGTATTACTTAATGAGAGGTATGAGGCTAGCTGAGACCAGATACTGCTTGTTTGAAAGAATTAGGAAAACCTGAAGCAGGATCCAAGACAGGACAATTTTATGGTAAAGCAACTGGCAAAAGCTTGGGTGGGCCTGAAAGTTGGGTGGGGTGGGGCCTCAGGGAGTCACCAGGGCAGAGCAAACAGTGTGAGCCAGGTTGCTGGAGTCCCAGATATGGCAGCTGTCTGCTGACCCAGGGAAGGGCTCACCAAAGAAACAAAGGCCTCTGATAGCACATCTGTCCAGGAGAAAGCTGCCTCTCCAGCCTTGGCTCCAATGCCAAACAACTCAGTTCTTCCCCATCCGTCTCCAGTGCCCCTCAAGCTGCCTCCACCACGCTGGAGCCTGGAGGGTGCTAGTCCGAGTAAGTCCTCATGTGGGCCCTTTAAGAGGAGCTGCCTGAGGCTCCAGTCGCCTCAGCCTCCCTGAGCCTCAGTTCCCGCTGGTTTTAGAGCCAGAAGTCATGGGGACTTGTCTTCCTGGCACTGGAACCCTAAGCTGGGCGCCTGATGTGGGACGGGGATCCCTCAGTCCTCGGGGAGGACCTTCCCAGCCAAGATTTTTCCCCTCCTGATTTTTATCCGCCACTCGTGGGTGTGGGACCAGCTCGTCCGCCTCCGTCCCTCCTACCAGTCTGGATGTGGCTGCTGCTTTAATTCCGTAGTTGTAGGACTTCCTTTCAGCTTTATTTCAGGTGGTTTTGTATAATGGTTGTTCTGTAGTTTCGTTGTAACTTTGATGTGGTTGTGGGATGACGCGATACCGCGTTTACCTACGCCGCCATCTTAACCGGAAGTCTGAAACTGTTATTTCTAATTACAGTCCAAGAAATAGCCTTATCATCTGCTTCTTAGATGAATATGACATATTTATTTCTGATAGGCTACACACCTGATATTTCAGAGTGTTCTGCTCTCCGTTTCCTCTATAATTACCAGTATGGTATGTTTATGACTATGATAAAACTATTCATTAATTTAGTAGCTGCTTTAAAAAAAATAGCTGCTGATGTAAACCTTTGTTTTCTTAGCTATAACTCATTTCCATACACTCACCAATTCTCTTGCAAGTGATAAATCATAATACATGTTCAAGATTGATTTGTCTAAGAATTGTTTTTAACTAGGTTGTGTTCTATCCCACTGAATGGCAAGAACATCCCAATCATTGCCCAAGAAACCAGAGACAGGAAGCAGGTCTAACATTTCCACAAAAGAGGGTTTCCAGTAAAAAATTTGGTGCTCACCCCTGAAGATGAATTTAATAATGTGAAGACAGCTTATCCAAAACTTGGAACTAAGCTAAAGGGATTGCTAGATGTTCTTTCTGCTCCTTTCCAGTTTTAAAAAGGATTCACTTTTCATCCCCTCCCTGCCATTGTCTTATTTCCACCTTAAGAGAGCTTGCCTGAATTTCTGTAACTGGTCTCTCTCCAATCCTGCCATCCTCTAACCCATTCTTTTTTTTAAAAAATCCTCACCCTTGGTTGTAGGTTCTTGCTTTTCATCACTCTGAATATTTCTTGCCACTCCTTTCTGGCCTGCAAAGTTTCTTTTGAGAAATCAGCTGACAGCCTTATGGGAACTCCCTTGTAGGTAACTAACTGCTTTTCTCTTGCTGCTTTTAAGATTCTCTCTTTATCTTGAACCTTTTGCATTTTGATGATGATGTGTCTTGGTGTGGGCCTCTTGGGGTTCATCTTGTTTGGGACTCTCTGTGCTTCCTGGACTTGTATGTCTGTT